CATTCAAATTTTGCTGGACGTTCCTCAAGTCTGAAGTACTTGACCAGAGTTGCTGAAAAATGTTCATGTTTACAGAAACTTGATTCACCGTGTTGTCACCAGCCATCTTTCCACTGGCTCCCTGATTGTCTAGTGGCTAGGATTCGCGCTCTCACCGCCCGCGGCCCGGGTTCGATTCCCGGTCAGGGAATGTGCTTTAATGCAAGTGTGTGTGTTGCATCCATAAAACAAAATCAAAAAACACTCCGCTGAAAAAAGGAAAATACTACTAAACCCGAGCTACGGTAAGTTGTGTGTCTTGTCAGACAAATTGATAACTTCAGTGTTCTCCTACTTCACACCAATGGGGTCCCTAATGGTCTAGTGGCTAGGATTCAGCACTTTCACCGCTGCAGCCCTGGTTGATTCCCATTTAGGGAATATGTATTTAATGCTGGGAAGTACCAATAGTACCAATCTCTGCCTTGGTCTGCTAGCTCTATATTGGTCCACATTGTCATCTGACCTATAGTCAGCCTGAAATGGAATATCTCTGTGTTCAAAAACAGTTGTGTTTACCTGAAAGTAAAGTTATGAGTCCAAAACAGAGAGCCAAGCTAAGCCCTAGTTATTTGTGAAACACTCAGAGTTTGGGGCTGTAGCTGAAGAAGTAATGTAGTCCAAAAAACCCTATAGTGCTTACACTCAAGCAGGATTTCAAACAAGTGGGAACAAATTTAACCTCATTGCTGGAAAAACACTTGCATGGGTTCACTTTACAGGCACATGTTTTCAGCCTTTTTTTTTTTTAGCTTCAGCTGATGCAGTGATGTGCACAAGTGTTGCAAACACAAATAAAAACAACAAAGCAAATGTCATTCAAATTTTGCTGGACGTTCTCAAGTCTGAAGTACTTGACCAGAGTTGCTGAAAAATGGTTCATGTTTACAGGAAGACTTGATTCACGGTGTGTCCACCAGCTGTCTTCCACTGGCTCCCTGATGTCTAGTGGCTAGGATTCGGCGCTCTCACCGCCGGGCCCGGGTTCGATTCCCGGTCAGGGAATGTGCTTTTAATGCAGTGATGGTGGTGTTGGCATCCAAAAACAAAATCAAAAACACTCCGCTGAAAAAAGGAAAATACTACTAAACCCGAGCTACGGTAATTGTGTGTCTTGTCAGACAAATTGATAACATCAGTGTTCTCTACTTCACACCAATGGGTCCCTAATGGTCTAGTGGCTAGGATTCAGCACCTTCACCGCTGCAGCCCTGGTTTGATTCCCATTTAGGGAATATGTATTTAATGCTGGGAAGTACCAATAGTACAATCTCTGCCTTGGTCTGCTAGCTCTATACTGGTCCACATTGTCATCTGACCTATAGTCAGCCTGAAATGGAATATCTCTGTGTTCAAAAACAGTTGTGTTTACCTGAAAGTAAAGTTATGAGTCCAAAACAGAGAGCCAAGCTAAGCCCTACTTATTTGTGATTGGCTCAGAGTTTGGGGCTGTAGCTGAAGAAGTAATGTAGTCCATAAAACCCTATAGTGCTTACGCTCCGCTGAAAAAAGGAAAATACTACTAAACCCGTGCTACGTTAAGTTGTGTGTCTTGTCAGACAAATTGATAACTTCAGTGTTGTCCTACTTCACACCAATGGGGTCCCTAATGGTCTAGTGGCTAGGATTCAGCGCTTTCACCGCTGCGGCCCAGGTTCGATTCCCGGTTAGGGAATATGTATTTAATGCTGGGAAGTACCAATAGTACCAATCTCTGCCTTGGTCTGCTAGCTCTATACTGGTCCACATTGTCATCTGACCTATAGTCAACCTGAAATGGAATATCTCTGTGTTCAAAAACAGTTGTGTTTACCTGAAAGTAAAGTTATGAGTCCAAAACAGAGAGCCAAGCTAAGCCCTAGTTATTTGTGAAACACTCAGAGTTTGGGGCTGTAGCTGAAGAAGTAATGTAGTCCAAAAAACCCTATAGTGCTTACACTCAAGCAGGATTTCAAACAAGTGGGAACAAATTTAACCTCATTGCTGGAAAAACACTTGCATGGGTTCACTTTACAGGCACATGTTTTCAGCCTTTTTTTTTTTAGCTTCAGCTGATGCAGTGATGTGCACAAGTGTTGCAAACACAAATAAAAACAACAAAGCAAATGTCATTCAAATTTTGCTGGACGTTCCTCAAGTCTGAAGTACTTGACCAGAGTTGCTGAAAAATGGTTCATGTTTACAGGAAGACTTGATTCACTGGTGTGTCCACCAGCTGTCTTCCACTGGCTCCCTGATGGTCTAGTGGCTAGGATTCGGCGCTCTCACCGCCGCGGCCCGGGTTCGATTCCCGGTCAGGGAATGTGCTTTTAATGCAGTGATGGTGGTGTTGGCATCCATAAAACAAAATCAAAAACACTCCGCTGAAAAAAGGAAAATACTACTAAACCCGAGCTACGGTAAGTTGTGTGTCTTGTCAGACAAATTGATAACATCAGTGTTCTCCTACTTCACACCAATGGGGTCCCTAATGGTCTAGTGGCTAGGATTCAGCACCTTCACCGCTGCAGCCCTGGTTTGATTCCCATTTAGGGAATATGTATTTAATGCTGGGAAGTACCAATAGTACCAATCTCTGCCTTGGTCTGCTAGCTCTATACTGGTCCACATTGTCATCTGACCTATAGTCAGCCTGAAATGGAATATCTCTGTGTTCAAAAACAGTTGTGTTTACCTGAAAGGAAAGTTATGAGCCAAAACAGAGAGCCAAGCTAAGCCCTACTTATTTGTGATTGGCTCAGAGTTTGGAGCTTACCTTGGGCTGTAGCTGAAGAAGTAATGTAGTCCATAAAACCCTATAGTGCTTACGCTCCGCTGAAAAAAGGAAAATACTACTAAACCCGTGCTACGTTAAGTTGTGTGTCTTGTCAGACAAATTGATAACTTCAGTGTTGTCCTACTTCACACCAATGGGGTCCCTAATGGTCTAGTGGCTAGGATTCAGCGCTTTCACTGCACGGCCCGGGTTCGATTCCCGGTTAGGGAATATGTATTTAATGCTGGGAAGTACCAATAGTACCAATCTCTGCCTTGGTCTGCTAGCTCTATATTGGTCCACATTGTCATCTGACCTATAGTCAACCTGAAATGGAATATCTCTGTGTTCAAAAACAGTTGTGTTTACCTGAAAGTAAAGTTATGAGTCCAAAACAGAGAGCCAAGCTAAGCCCTATTATTTGTGAAACACTCAGAGTTTGGGCTGTAGCTGAAGAAGTAATGTAGTCCAAAAAACCCTATAGTGCTTACACTCAAGCAGGATTTCAAACAAGTGGGAACAAATTTAACCTCATTGCTGGAAAAACACTTGCATGGGTTCACTTTACAGGCACATGTTTTCAGCCTTTTTTTTTTTTAGCTTCAGCTGATGCAGTGATGTGCACAAGTGTTGCAAACACAATAAAAACAACAAAGCAAATGTCATTCAAATTTTGCTGGACGTTCCTCAAGTCTGAAGTACTTGACCAGAGTTGCTGAAAAATGGTTCATGTTTACAGGAAGACTTGATTCACCTGGTGTGTCCACCAGCCTTCTTCCACTGGCTCCCTGATGTCTAGTGGCTAGGATTCGGCGCTCTCACCGCCGCGGCCCGGGTTCGATTCCCGGTCAGGGAATGTGCTTTTAATGCAGTGATGGTGGTGTTGGCATCATAAAACAAAATCAAAAACACTCCGCTGAAAAAAGGAAAATACTACTAAACCCGAGCTACGGTAATTGTGTGTCTTGTCAGACAAATTGATAACATCAGTGTTCTCCTACTTCACACCAATGGGGTCCCTAATGGTCTAGTGGCTAGGATTCAGCACTTTCACCGCTGCAGCCCTGGTTTGATTCCCATTTAGGGAATATGTATTTAATGCTGGGAAGTACCAATAGTACCAATCTCTGCCTTGGTCTGCTAGCTCTATACTGGTCCACATTGTCATCTGACCTATAGTCAGCCTGAAATGGAATATCTCTGTGTTCAAAAACAGTTGTGTTTACCTGAAAGTAAAGTTATGAGCCCAAAACAGAGAGCCAAGCTAAGCCCTAGTTATTTGTGATTGGCTCAGAGTT